CGGCGCCATGGCGGCCGCCAAGCCGGGCGAGCTGATGGGCGTCTGCTCCAGCTACCAGGCGGTGATGCCGCACTTCGTGTGCCTGGCCGACGAGTTCCCGCAGCCCGTGCGGCCCGCCAGGCTGTCCAAGGGCAAGGGCCGGCTGCGGCGGCCGCGCCAGTCCCGCTTCAAGACGCAGCCGGTGACCTTCGACGAGATCCAGGAGGTGGAGGAGGAGGGGGTGTCCCCCATGGAGGAGGAGAAGGCCAAGAAGTCGTTCCTGCAGAGCCTGGAGTGTCTGCGCCGCAGCACGCAGAGCTTGTCGCTGCAGAGGGAGCAGCTCAGCAGCTGCAAACTGAGAAACAGCCTGGACTCCAGCGACTCCGACTCGGCCCTGTAAGGGGCGCCGCCCGGAGGGGGGACGCGCGCGACTCCGAGGCCCGCCCGGGGACCAGAGGGCAAACCCTGGGAAGGTCTGCGCCCCGCACCCGGGGTACCCCTGAAGGACAGGGGACCGCCGCCCCTCGCGCATTTGGACTCCCACCCCGCTGCGAACTAGTCAGTGCGCCCTTGGCCGCGCTCACGCTGGCCCAGAGCGCGCTCGGGGACGCCAGGGAGGGGGGCCGCCTTCTTTGCCCTTGTAAATGTTTATTTTTTATCTCTTCCACTACGAACTCCGCCGTGAGTGTGTGCGGGTCGCCGCTCCACGCCCTTGTCCGATGGCTTTGCACACTGCTCCACCGTGTCCCCCAGCGCACGCCAGTTCACACTCACGCCAACACACTCTCGCTGATACTTTTGTAATTGTTAGGCGCGGCCGATGGGACTTGGGGCGCAGCGCAGCAGCTGCTGTGGCCAGAGGATGGATATTTATTTTTGCATTGCGATGGCTGAAGGCATTTATTTAATAATCTTTTTACTTGGATATGTCTGTGAGACTCTCGAACGGAGGCAAATAAAGTCAATATATTTGCACAGTGCATTTCTCCAGGCTCTTGACTTCTTGGACCTTCGGGGCTCAGGCACCCAAGGCAGGGGGAGGTCGGGGAGGAGGTGGCAGGGGTGGGGGACCAAGTGGAGGTAACACCACAAGCTTCAGCCCCCGGTGCACGGGTCCTCCCCAAGTGGATCCACGCCCAGCCCAGAGCGCTCCTGCCTCCCCAGTCTGCTTCCCATCGCGGATGTCCGGGATGGAGTGAAGCCGCTGGAGAGGCGGGGCTGGAAGGGTGGACAGCGTCCTCTTTGGGGACAGTGGACCTCTCGGGGAGGCCGGGGTCAGGGTCTTCACCCCGCACCCCCAACTGAAGGAAGACCCCACTCACTCCGCGCGCATTCCTGGCGCCGGGTGGGTAGATGCCGGAACCAGCAGTGGGAGACCCAGGCAGGGCTATTTGGGTAATGGGACCCGAGGGAGAGCCGGGAGCCCGTCCGGGCCGAGCGAGAGTGTGAGTGTGCACTCACTGTCGCCTGCAGGTGAGGACCCCAAGCCCCTCGCTTTACTCAGCGCGGGGCCGGGCACGTCTGCGCTGCGGGAGCAAACAGCGACCGTTTCCGTCCTTGGGTCCCTTCTTCCAGCCCTTCTCCTTTGCCCCCTTCAGGGTTCCGCAAGGAGGGTGGGGCATGTCTTTGGCCAGAGGCTGAAGGGCGCTAGGGTACCACCGAGTCCTTCCCCGCCCCTTCCCCGCCTTTGTTTACAGACGAGAAAACAAGCCCAGCACCGAGGGAAAGGTCAGGCAGAGTAGCGGTGGCATAGCCAGTTCTTCTGAATCCTGGTCCAGTGCTCCTTCCACAGCACGAGCCTGTCTTTCTAGTGCTCTTCAGCAGCTGTCCCGCATCCCTGCCTACACCCTAAATCCTCTGGGTCAGCAGCGTGGCAGTGTCACGGGGTAGCAGGCAGCCACCAGGGTAATAAACAACATCCGGTTGAGGAAACCGGGTCCGCACACCTGGGGCCCCCTCCCAGCCCACCTCTCCAGGACTGCCCCAGGGCTGGCCCACCGTGGCCGTGGCCGGGCTTTGGGCTGACGAGCTCAGAGAGCCGCGGAGGACAGCAGATGCGCCTTCTAGTCGCGCTCCCGGTTGCCGGACCTCTGCGCTCGGGCGCCCTCTGCTGGTGGGACGTGTGTGTGTGTGTGTGTGTGTGTGTGTGTGTGTGTGTGTGTGTGTGTGTGTGTCTCTTTAAGGAGCGGGGATCAAAAACAGAACTCTGCTGGTGGGATGTGTGTGTGTGTGTGTGTGTGTGTGTGTGTGTGTGTGTGTGTGTGTCTCTCTCTCTCTCTCTCTTTAAGGAGCGGGGATCAAAAACAGAACCACAGGGTCTGAGAGGATGTCCTCCTCACTGGCTCAGAGGACAGGCCCATGGCCTTGGCAGCTGGGGTCTTTGGTCCTGGTCATTGCTGTCTCCAACGATGGTGGGTTCCATTGTGGTGGGACATAGTGACAGGAGGCCCGTAAATGCAAAGGCCCTGGTTTTGCAGGGCAACTGTGGGTTGATGATTTATTCCAGTTACTGCACCTGTAATCGCCAGGCTGGCTTGGGCTCCAAGGTGCTCCCAGGAGGAGGATGGTTAAAACTCAGGACTCCCTCCCTGCCCACCCCTGCTTGTCTCCCCTCTTCAGCAGTAGCTCCTGTTTCTGCTCTTCAAGAGCCAGATGCCCTATGGGTCTGGAAAACACCCTTTCCCCCCATAGGCTTCCAGACCCTTTAGGCCTGAGATCCACCCCTCTGGGGCAGCCTTGCTCCCACTGAAGAACCTCCTTCTCATGACTGCCTTCAGCCCCTACCCAGCTAGGCCTACCCAAAAGGTCTCCTTGGGTCACCCAGCCAACACTGGGGTTATTGCAGGGACCGTACCCTGTCACTCTGATGCCCTGCTCAGCGGCTGGCCGGGCCCAGCACTGTCTAGGTGCTTCCAAAAAGTTTGTCAAGTTAAAATGAAGCTCGATGCCTATTTTGCCTACTTCCTGGTTTATTTTTAAATGATTCTAATTTTTTATTGATACTCCCCCTACCCAGAGAGAAGTAGGTTAACATCTTGAAGGTTATGCCTATCCGTGCATGTTTATTTTCTTTTACAAAATGGGTTTATCCTCTTTATGCTATTTTTCAACCTGCTTTTTTACCTAATTGGATTTGTGTTTAATAACGGTATGTATAGATCTACATCGTAGTTTTTATAAAATTCAGTTGAATAGATAGTCCACATTCAGTTAATGCTTCACTCTTCAGACATTCTGTCTGTCCCAGTTGCTCAGTTTGGCCTATCACTGACAGCTCTAAGGGGTGATGCAGAAAGAAGTCTGTAGTGGTGATGACCCAGAGGGGGGCTGGGGGGCGTGGTTGGGATCCTGCAGCGTTGGAGGGAGAGGCTGGGCCTGCGGGCCACAGCCCCAGGGCTGCACTGAGGATGCTCTCTGGTTCAGAACATCTCTGCCCTGCACAGAGGAAGAGGGAGGGGAGACTGGGGGTGGGGGTGGGGGGCCCTCTTGTAAAGTCCTTGTGGAACTGCTGGGGCTCAGCCCCTCCTTGTGCTGGAAGGCATTCCAAGGCAGCACAGGGTTCCAAGGACAGGCAAGCAAGGCCAGCGGAATCTGCTGGGCTGCGCTGTGCGGCCAAAGGGTGGAAGTGGAGGAAAGAGCGGAGAGATGAGCAGTGAGGCAGTGAGAGAGAGCAGGAGAGCCAGAGAGGTGGAGAGAAATGAGGACCCCCAGGGACAGGGAAACTTGGAGACACAGAGAGAGGGTCATAGACAAGAGAAACAGAGTCAGGAGCCAGACTGCCAAGAGATGGGACAGAATAAGGGCCATTACAGGCCTGTCCAGGGAGACGCCTGCTTCCTCCCCTTCCCTGCCTGGCCTCAGCCTGCAGTCCTAGCCTGAGTGATGCGTTTACAAACAGGCTGGAGCCCAGAGGTGACAAATGGCTGTGTGTGTCCCACAACCTCTTCTAAATATTTTTCTTTGGCTCTAGGGGAGATTTTATCAGAGTGTTTCTTCCATGAATTTAAAAGCCAGCTTGGCCTCTGCAGCCCACTATGGGCCAATCCTGGGCCTGTTCGCTGTGGGGTTGAGAGAGAAGGGCTGCCTGCGACCCCAGGGAATCAGGGTCTGCTGTGGAGCTGGGAGTCCTCCCTCAGGAAGCACATTTGGGGTAGCCGCTGGGCCCTTTGGGCTCTGGAAAGAAGGGGGGCTGGGAATAAAAGCCCCCATTTAGTGAGCACCTCCTGTGAATACTGCACTTTCATACTGAGAAAGTTTCCCAGGCATTTTACAGATGAGGAAACTGAGGCTCAGAGGGGTAAAGTTTCTTGCTCAGTGCCACATGGTAGTCAGTGGTAAGCTGGGTTGCAACCCAATATTTTCCTTTTTAAGTTCCAAAGTCTTTGCACTATCTAGAATACGAACCTCGGCTTCTTACTGTAACCCCCTGTGGCAGCTGCGAGAATGGGCCCTGCAGATATCCAGAGAGTGTAACTGACCTGGAGCCTTGGCCCTAAAAGCCATCACCTTCTTTGGCTGATGCCGAACCCCTCCCACAGGTTCCTCTCTACCAACGTGTGCACAGCTGGGTTTCTGAGAAAGGATCCTGCGAGACACTAGATTTCTTTGCTGGTGGACTTTGGCTTAAACATTTCCTAGGGGTCCTGCTGAAGCTTTCTTAGCTTGCAGAGCAGGCTACAACCTTCTCCCTCTCTCTGCCTTACTCAGGGCCACACCTGCATGGCAGCTGGCAGGCCCTCGCAGCCTTCCTTGGCTCTCTCTGTTTTTTGTTTCACAGCGGCTCCTTTCCTCATGAGATCCTTGCACGTTCCATCCCCTCTTGGTGTCTGCTTTCTGGAAAATTGGGGCTAGCACATCCTTCCAGCTCCCAGCAGGTTCCAGGGCTTCCATGCCTTTCACTTGGCACTCCCCTCCTGCTCTCTTTCCCCTTTCCACAAGTGGGACCACGGATGTGCCTGCAGCCCAGCGGTGATCAAACCCACAAGGCCAATGGCCTAGGAAGTGACAGAGAAACAAGATGGAAGGTCCCCGGGCCCCCGAATAACCTTTGGAAATGGACATCCTGTCAATCTGGAATGATCACCATGGGCTATCACACATGAGAGCACCCACTTCTATCTTTGAGCTGGTAAATCATTAGCCTTCCCTCGCTGTAAATAAACAGAAATTAGTCCTGGCAGTGGGTGCTATTTTGACAAAAACGCTAAAATACAAAGCATTGACTTAGCGGTTTGCTGCAGACAGGGAGTGTACACATATTTCAGGCTGGAGAGTTGGACAGCCTTATTATCCCTTGGCAAAGCATTTGGTAAAACCATGTTTATGACACTTTAGAAGTCTGATCATGCGTTAACCAAGCCCATAGTTCTAGGAGAAGTGGTTGGAAAGAGCCAGAATATTACTGTACATTGGCTGCTGTTTGTGGCTTTTAGAAAATTATTACAAGAAAGACAGGAGAGACAGAAAGGAATTGAGAGTATCTAGAAACATTGGGTCTTACAAAGATGAAAGCCACCTCCCTTGTAACCCACGCAGCAGGAGTTCAGACTGTTGGTTGCTTAGAGTCTTTCTCCAAGGCCACCCAAGAAGCGGGGCAAAGGATCTAGGCCTGGAGCAAGGTTAGATTAAGGGTGTTATCTTTCCACTCAACCTATTGTTTTAGAATCACTCCAATGTAGCCAAAATTAAAATGAGAGAGCTGGGCCAGAGCAGAAAACAAAATAATAAAAC